TTCCATCTAAACTTGCACCTTTGAATCTTTTGTAAAATTCGTATGAGTTCTTCATTGCATTGGATAATCTGTCATTCACTTTGTTTAATTTGATTCAGATAAATTTCGACAATTCGTGTATCTCTTTATGTGTGTTGTTGCTTATCAGATTCAATGGTCCTCCTTCTTTGTACCGTATGCTACTGGGGCACTTGCATCCTTTCGTATGAGTTAGTTCAGTGTCTATTTGCCGATTTCCCTGCTCCTACTAATTTGCTTCAGCATTTCTTGCAGTACCTCTTTGATTTCAACTGTTCGGTCTTTTGTTAGTAGTCGATACGTTGTAGTGTCCCCGAGAATATCTTGCCTTTTCTCTGTATATTCCTTCCTGTTCATTAACACTGTGGCGCCTCCTTTGTCGTCTTGAAGGACTATTTTATCATTTATTTTCAATTATCTTTATAACTTGGTTATATTGTCCTTATGTGTGGGTTCTTGATGCATCAAGATTGTTGGAATGATTTCCATTTCCAGCTCTCTTGGATTTTTCAGGTAGCCTTTCGGAGGTATTTATCACCTCCGCTAAAATGTCATTAATTGCCTTCATAACATTTCGAAGTGCAAAATTTAGTTCTTTCTGAATTACGGAAGATAGATTCACTACTGTATCCTCATTTCTTGTCTGGACCTTGAAATCCGCCAGCCTAGAGGCATCTTCATCTTTCCCAGCTGGTTGGACCTTGGAGTACCCATGGATTCCCATATTTATTCAGCTTCTTCTGGTGCCTTTTTTATTAAGTCCGATATCCTTCTCGCCATTTTGTCCGTCATTTTCTGTAGTTTCAGGAAATCCTCCGAGGTGAGAATCTGACTCGAATCATGCCCGAGTCTAGATTTAATATCTAAAAACTTAAATAATTTTCACCTCTCCTCCTATGAAAGGTAGGTATAATTGCAACAAATCACCGTTCTTGTATTTGTGTTTGATGAATTATAGTAAAGCATGGTGTTGCTCTGACGATAATCGCCACATTACGAACAAATGCTCAGAAAAGATTAATCGGAGTCGCAACGCTGTGCGCCGAGGACCTGTTTGCACAAATGTATAAAAAGGATTGTGAATAGAGTAAGTACGAGACAGTTATAGCGCATTTCATGGAGTGCTCACCAAGGTGCCAATAGCAAGAACAGATTCAGCTAAAAGCATGTGTAAGGGCAAATAAGAATCCTTTCTATCATTAGAACGAACTAATCCAGAAGTAACTCAATGCAAACCGCTTAGGTCGTGGTTTCAGTGCCAGATATAGATTCCATAAAATATTACGTGTGTGTGGTAACCCATTTCTTTTTACTAAGACGTTAAGTTTAACTCAATTACATACGCAGCTGTCTCTCGGCGCTTGTTCAACACAAAATGCCCCATGTGAATATCCCTCACACGCAGTCTTTGTTCGTGTGGATCAATCAATTGCGCCCGTTCATTGAGCTAACTTCAGACCTATCAGAAGCTGACAATCAAGTTAAATAGCTAAGGAAAGTTTAGCAAAAAGTAAATTATATTTGATAGCAGGAGATAAAAAGAATACCTTAATTTCCGGAGTCCCATCAAAGTCAAACTCGCCATGCTCCATGCAGGTTGCGATCATACTGATTAGAGTACAGACCCGCTCGATTAGAGCACGAAGGTGAAGATCGCAGTCAGCTTTGGAGTAAGTGGATGAGAATGAGGTCAAATTTTCGGAACTAGCGCGATTTAAACATTCGGTCAAGATGGCGCTTAATTCTAAAGAGTTAACTTCATCCTGAGTGGATAAAGTAAGGGTAATCGGAAGAAAATGCTCAATTAAAGAGGTTAGGCATACTAGTAATTTTAAAGATAGATAATGAAAAATATCTGAGACAACAATAACACGAGGCGGTGGTAATCCGATAAGGTAGAATTACCTCAGGAGCTATTGACGATGAGAGAAGTTATTTCTTCAAGGTCTGTTGTTCATCATTGTTTCAAAAATGCTATACGGCTAACTACAAAATATCTTTTTGTTGGACAAAATTAAAATATAAGCTTAATCCAACGGATAAAATATAAGGAGAAACAAGATGGATTCTAACAATTACCATAAAAAACACAAGATTAATGCTAAAAAAATTCCGAGTATTTCACACACTTCTTGTCGAACAATTAATAGCAAAGTTTATTTGAAGAAAAGGTGAAGGGGATGAATGGAACTACCAAAAGCAAGTAAGAGATTTATAAATTAGTCGATAAGATCATTGACGCCTAATTTGGCAGAATATGTATTTTGTATTTGAAGGTATGAAGACCAAGAGTGTGTGTCCTTGTCTATGGTCGCAGTCCCCTTTCGATGGATATGAATTGTTTGACCTTGTTATCGCAGCTTATTCATATTGGCGGGAAGACCTAGAGAAACGCACCTGGACCGGAGTCCATAGTAGGCATGATAATTTCCAGAATCGGAGGAAGGACTTGGTACATTCCCAAGACGTTTCGCCAGCATCGTCAATGGACAAAGGCAATTTCAGCAACATAATACAAGTCGTTAAATAGACAAGTGAAACCAATTGTCTGTTAAACAATCGTAGTATCTCTCCTTCCGCTTTGGCTATTCAACTAGAATATATCC